CTCGTCCTCATTTGGTTGTGTGTCCTGGCGGTTTTTTTCCGCAGTTCTGGGACTTGTGCAACTGGGTGTTCTTTTGCTAGTGTGAGACGGCGGCAGCGGTGAGTATTAGTGCAGGGGGCAGCAGCAGGCCAGGTATCTTCAGCCTTGCTTTGCTTGCCTTATGAACAGCTTGTGGAGCTCGGGTTTTGTTGCCGTATCAGTTTTGTTGGCTGTACTGGCTAGCGGAACAAAGTTTCTGTACTTTGACAAGTGCTTTGTAAAGCCCATATGGACAGAGGTCTGTCAGCGTGCTGTCACTGCACAGGGACATGGTTCGTGCATGAGAGGAAGAGGGTTATTCCGGCACGCCCCAAGCGCACACATGACAGGAGTATAAATCACGGGACAATGGGGAGGTGACATTGACTATCAGGCCACACACAGCCCCATGTTCTCTTCAGACCTTGTGTAGGGGGAACCAGAGGAGCTTGATTGCCCTGGAGGAATTGTTTTCATTGCTGGGCTGAGTACCTTTGACAGAAACATGGATGCCACAGAGGAAGCGAAAATGACATTTCCGTTTATCCCTTTCCCCCGTCACCGTAGCTTGTTAGACCACAGTGAGTCCCCATGCACAGAACGTGTGTGACGGAATTCTGTGACAATTCCTTGGGAATGGAGAGCAGGGGTTGTTGTGGCTTAACCTTGGTAGGCAGCTAAGCGCCACACGACTGCCAGCTCACTCCCCCTCCCTCGTGCAGTGGGACAGGAGAAGAGGAAATAAAGACTAAAACCAAGAAAACTCTTGGGTTGAGATAAAAATAGTTTAATAAGCAAAGGAGAAGTAGAAGAAGAGAGAAAAGAGAACAAAACGAAACAAACGATGCAAAGGCAGTCACTCACCGCCTCCTACGGGTAGACCAATGTCCAGCCAGTTCCTCAGCAAAAGATGGCTCACCCACCTTAAACCCCTTCCTCAGCAAAAGATGGCTTACCCACCTTAAATCCTTTCCTCTGCATTTTATTGCTGGGCATGATGTTATGCGGCATGGAATATCTCTCTTGATTAGTTCCGGTCACCCGCCTGCTTGTGTCCCCTCCTAACCTCTTGTGCATTCACAGTACAGTCACATCTAAAACACAGCACCGTATGAGCTGCTATGAGGAGAATTAAGTCCATCCCAGCCACAGGCAGCACAAGGGTTCTTCCCTAAGCATTTTTTGTTCATCCCAGTTTAGCTATCCATCAGGCAGCCTCAGGAGGCTTTCCAAGCTTGGCCCATACTTCCTGCTTCTGCTTTGTTTTCCTCCAAAGAGCCTGTTGGGAGACTTGCTGAGGCCTGCATGCTGTGGTGCTAAGCCTGGGAGGCTTAAAAAGTAGTAACAGAGATGTCTGATGTTCAGGAGCTTTTTTTTTTTTTTTTTCCCCACACACGATTTCAGAGAGCTCCTTCCCACTCCTGCTCTGGTATTTTGGAGCAGTGTTACCAGGAAGTTTCCTAGTTCCCACAGATTGTGACCAGATGCACAGGTCGTGCTAAATTTCTCTGGCATTTTATTCCACTTCATGTTAGAGAGCAGTACAAGGACAGACGGCAGTACAGTAGGCTGCAAGTCAACAGCAGCACAGGGGGAAGACCACTGAAGATGTCAGAGCGACTCAGAGCACTGTTCCTATCGGCTTGTGTGCTTTCATCCAAAGTATCCCTCTTGCAGCTGGGAATTCACTACAGTGGTTGCATTTCCTTCATGACACCAGGGCAACGTGTGGATGCCTGTATTGTACTGCGGCAACCTGATTTGAGCCAGGGCAAAGTGCACAAAGCAACAAGTTGTGCTGGTTCCCTGTGGGTCCATTGGACACAGGGGAGCAGGTGCTGTTGATAACTAGTTACTTGTCGCTGCGCCAAAATAGGAGGTGAGCGGGACAGAAGCTTGGGTCCCCATGTGGCACTCTGTCCCTAGGAAGTCTCTGCTGATGTCTACTGGCTTAGGGCTGCAGAGTTTTCAGGCAGGAGCTATCAAAAGTAGTTCTAGCCTAAGAGATTATATTTTGACTAGTGATTTTGTTTGTTGGGAGCGGTTATTCTGTGCAGCTCGTGTGATGTGACATCAACCAGGCAGCATGTGATAATCTTCCTCGGTGCTTTTATCAAATCCTAACTGTGGATGCTAAGAAGAGATGAGAACCATTGTGCAAGGTCCATCAGCTGTTTCGTCCTTCGATCTAAGGTTATATAAAAAATCTGAAAGGACACTCCCTGTGTCCTGAATGCAGGACATAGGATCAGCATGTTGTGTACCTGATGTGTCCTGTGAGCCTGGCTGGCGCTAGGAGTCTGATCTCAGAAATCCTTGCTTTTACCGTGTTTTCACTTGAGTGAGTTGGGCTGCTAGGAAGCAGCTCTTTACCTCTGTGAAGAAAGTAGTGCTTAACCAGAAATGCTTTGGGCTAACATAAGTGTTTGGATGGGGGATTGAATTGTTGTGAGAGATTGAGTGCCTGAGGGGATGTGCTAGTAAGCAGAGAAGGAAGAATGGGTTTTGCTCTGTAGTCTTGGTCAGGCTTTGAGGAAGGGAATGAGATCTAGGGTGCAGAATAAATTGAGGAGGGCTGATACCTGTAGAACTCTTGAATCTTCAAGTGATACAGAACCCTTCTGGTCCTTCAGGGATAAGACTGGAAAATTGCGGCTGGAATGGATGGCATGACATGAGTGTCTTGCTCTATCCAGGAACTTTTGTCTGCTTGCATCGATGTTCCTGTGCCAAGGGACTTCCAGATGCAGAGTCTCTGGCTTTTGCTGGGAGCCCATTTTCTTCTGGCTATGTCATAATCAAATGAAAAATTGCACCTGTCTTCAGAGAAGGCACATGTCAGAAGTGCAAACTGTTGCCTGTAAAGCAACACTTGATGCTCAGTTTGTCAACCCTGCAGAGTTTAAATGCCATGCTGAGCTGGGGATGTTGCAGTGAGCTGGTAGATGGGCATGCAGATGCTCTTGACTGGTTCTCAGCTGCAGAAGAGGACACTGAGAACAGCAACACCTCTGGAGGTAGCCTGCCTGGTATTTACTGAGAGGCTGTGTTGTAACACTAGTGCACTAAGGGCGTGGGGCTGCATTGCCTGGATCTTTCATGATCTCATGATAAAAATGCATCACCAAAGGCAGCAAGACTGTTTAACCTGCTTGACAGCGGACAGCTGGATTTCAGAGGGCTGGGGTAAGAAACTGTGGGGCTAGACACAGTAGAACATTAACTGCGCTGTGCTGCTCAGTGCATCTCAGGGCACACCAAAAGTATGACAGAAAGTGTGGTTACCAGCCAAGCTGATAATATTTGTTGTTGCAGGCTTTCAGACTACAGCATCACTTAGTGATAGTGGGGTATTTCTGATTGCTGTTTTGTACACTAGGAAGCATCCTGAACGTTCACTGGATTTTGACTCTAGGCAGAGCCTCCCACTGGTCCTCTGAATAAAAGTACTTGGTTAGCTACCCTTCAGCTGCTAAATGCATGAGCACATAGTCTCGAAATGAACAGTGCCGTAGACTTAAAGATAAAAATTTTTTTTCACCATAGGTTTCCCTGTTCTTATGAAGGTGGTACTAGTTTTTACAGCTCTCTGAATCTTACCAGTATAACCACCAGAGTCAGCTGAAATGTTGAAGTCCTTATGTCTCATCACTACTGGCCTTAGTAAGACCCATAAACTGAGTGTTTCAGTAACGTACTCCCCTATATGGAGAGTAAGCTGGATACTGATTTCTAGTTTTTACAGAGATTGTTATGAAACAATGTTCTGTTTTGTTTCATTGCTTTATAGGAACTCATGGCATTGTGTTTGAAGGATCTAGAAGAGAGAAAAGAGCGGGAAGCTGGTAACAGAAGGAATGTAGAGCAGGCTGCTAATGATCTGAAGGTAAAGCGTGGTTTGCTTCTCCACTGGATGGTCATTTTCCAAGTAGAGACATTTTGCATTCTCTGTAGCTATTCAAAGACACAGGCAGCTCGTGATTCTCAGGAAAAGAGTGTATTCCCTGTATCCA